CATTAGTTCAAAAGCTTGGGCTTTGTCTGTAATCCCTCATTTTTCACTCTCCCCGCCGCGTGTCGTCTTTTCTCGCGTGGGGTGATTTTCACGCACGCTTGCGTTTCGCTCGCTCTACTATCCCTGAGGAAAAATGGAGACTACTCGTAGTCTATGTATATGCATGAACCTGAGGTCAGAACTCACGACGAACTTTCACAGCGGTCATAGACCTTAATATGGGTCGCATACAGTAAGAATTTCAGACTCGTAATGGCAAAATCGGTAAACAAGCTTAACTGGAAAAAAATCATTCTCGCTGGTCTAGTAAACCTTTTTTTTATGATTTCCCATATCTTTGTTTTAGTTTTATGCAAACTGGTTTCAGCAAATCCCAAGGACGGTCAGTATCTCATGTAAGACTCCATAACATGTCCCCAACATATATAGAAGTTTCCCTATGTTTCTATGCATTTCCCTTGTTTTCCTTATGTTTCCCGTGTTTTTCTACGTTTTCCCCTGTTTTCCAGTGTTTTTCTGTGTTTTCCTCTGGTTCTCCCCTTTTTCCCGTGTATTCCTACGTTTTCCCCTGGTTTCCCGTGTTTTTCTTTGTTTTTTCTTGATTCTCCCCGTTGTCCCGTGTTTTTCCACGTTTCCCCCTGTTTTCCCGTGTTTTCTTACGTTTTCCCCTGTGTTCCAAAGTTTTTGTGCGTTTTGCTCTGTTTCTCCGTGTTTTCCATGTTTCTTCCTGATTTTCCATGTTTTTCTATGTTTTTCCTCCATTCTCCCTGTTTTCCTGTGTTTTTCTACGTTTTCCCCTGTGTCCAGTGTTTTTCTATGTTTTTCTTTGATTCTCCGTGTTTTTCCCTGTTTTTCTGTTTTCCCCTGATTCTCCATGGTTTTCCGTGTTTCTCTACGTTTTCTCCTGTTTCTCTGTGTTTTTCTATAGTTTTCCTTGACTCTCCCTGTCTTCCCGTGTTTTTCCACGTTTTCCCCTGTTTTCCAGTGTTTTTTCTATGTTTTCCTTTGATTCTCCCTGTTTTCCCTGTTTTTCTAAGTTTCCCCTGTTTCCCTGTGTTTTTCTATGTTGTCCCCTCATTTTTCCTGTTTTTCGTTGTTTTTCTATCTTTTGCCCTGATTCTCCCTGTTTTCCCGTGTTTTTTTATGTTTTCCCCTGATTCTCCCTGTTTTCCCGTGTTTTTCTATATTTTACTATGATTATCCCTGTTTTGGGGTGTTTTTCTCCGTTTTCCCCCGTTTCCCCTAATTTCCTATTTTTTCCCCTCTTTTCCAATGTTTTTTTTTTTGTTTTCCCCTGGCTCTTTCTGTTTTCCCGTGTTTTTCTATGTTTTCCTCGATTCTCTCGGTATTTTCTTGTTTTTCTACGTTCTCCTCTGTTTCCCCGTGTTTTCCTATGTTTTCCCCTGATTCTGCCTGTTTTTCAGTGTTTTTCTGTTTTTCCCTGATTCTCCCTGTTTTTTCGTGTTTTTCTACGTTTTCGTCTGTTTCCCCATGTTTTGCCCTGTTTCCCATGTTTTTTCTGTTTTTCCTTTATTCTCCTTGTTTTTCCGTGTTTTTCTATGTTTTCCTTTGTTTTGTTCTGTTTTCCCATGTTTTTTTCCTTGTTTTCCTATGGTCTCACATGTTTTCCCCTGTTTTTCTTGGATCTTGATTGAGGCGCATTATTACATGGAGCGATTCGTTGATTGATCCTCGATATTGGGCAATATGCATATTTTTGCCCTTAGGTTGGCTGACACATGCCAAAAAAGCAGTGCAGGCCACAGGGGGAGGGGGGGGGACGTAAATGATACTGTTTTACGGGATGTATAGTTTAATGTGCGGTTTTGTTTTAAAGAAAGTTTTGTTATTTTGTTAATTGATGCAGGAATGAGGTTTTCCAAATTCTCATGTTGTTATCTAAGTATTATGTATCAGACTGCTTCCACGTCATTGTCCCTGGAATGGAACTCTCCAAACGCAATCGGCTCAAATCAAAAGCTGGGAGCCCCTTGAAAAATTAAAACGCCCAAAAACTTGCTGCAATTAGGTCGCGTGGAAGAATGCGATGTGGTCTTATTCATTCATTCATAGTTTATTTGGTAAAGCAGGCTAAGTTAAAAGGATGCTAAAGCTGATGTGGACCTGCTGATAATCTATTGACGATATACAAATAAAATTTTAAAAAATGTACAGAAAATAGGTATATAAAAAGAATAAGTACACAGTAGTAAGATAAGAGACTTAAAGTTAAGAACAATTAAAATACTATTTCATCTTGTTGAAATTTATATTGTCGAACAAGGGTCTGTTTTTCTTAAGAAGCTTTTTAAAAATGTTTAGACTTGGTGCTCTTTTTAAATTGTCTGGAATGGAGTTTCAGAAAAAAGCTCCCCTATATCTTAATGAATTCCTGCCCACCTCTAGGTTAAAGCGGGGAACCTCAAACTTAATGCTATTGCGAAGATTATAACTGTACAGCAATTGCTACTACTAAAAAGCCTAATTATGTTATCTGGTAGCTCAGATTTGTAACCTTGATACAAAAAAGTCAGTAACTTTCTCTTGTACATGGAATTAATCGATTCCCATCCAGCTATTGCTATAGCTTTTTGGTTGCTAACATGAGATAGCCTATAGATAATCTTGGCTGCCGCGGCGTGGATATGCTCCACTTCTTGCAATAATGTAGGTGAGCAGGTACCCCAAACTAAATTGCAATAAGTGACAGTGGGAATAATACTTGTAAAATAAATAGACTGTAAGGTATCCTTTGTTAAATACTTGAGCCTTTTTAGCTGATTTACTTTCTGGCCAAAGGACCTACAAATTAACTCAATATGGCTAAGCCAAGACAACTGATTGTCAATAATAATTTCTAAACACTTAGTTTCCGTCACAAAATCTTAGACCTTGTTTCCTAACATAACAGGCTTTAGTGGTCCACAGAAGGGTTTATGAGTCAAAATCATGGCTTCTGACTTCCCTGTATGTATGGCCAGCTTGTTGTTTCCGCACCACAGGTTGATACTTGCTAGGGCTTTGTTTAACTTGTCAATAACCACTTCCACGTTGTCACCGACCACAGACAAGCTTGCATCGTCTGCATATATGGCCAGTTCACCTTCAGTAACTGCATCGGGGAGATTATTGACATAATAGGAGACTGAAAAATCTTTGCCTAAGCAAGGAACCTTGTGGCACTCCGCAACAGACATTCCTTGTCTGTGAGGTACAACCGTTTAAAATGGCAAACTGGTTCCTGTTTGTTAAATAACTAATCATCCAATTCAGAAGATCTCCAGTTATACCGATGGCTTCTAATTTGTATCTCAGAATAGTTTGAGACACCGTATCAAAAGCCTTCTGAAAGTCTATATACACAACTCCAACTACCTGTCTGTTATCCAATGCTTGATTCCGGGTTTCAGTTAGATGTATCAAAAGACCTTCAGTTGACCTGCCAGCTCGGAAGCCCCATTAGTTATTACTTAGAAGTCCTGTATGTGAGATAAATTTGTCCAGGCCTTCACATACTATTGCTTCTAGGAGCTTACTGGGAACACTTAACATCTGCAGAGGGCGATAGTTCCCCTGTCTGATGCATCACCCTTCTTATAGATGGTATGCATTCTTGATATCTTTCATTGTGTAGGTACAGTGGATTCCTTTAGACTGCGCTTAAACACAGTGTACAATCCGTTCATCATTGTTTCACCTAGAAGGTGAAAATCTCGAGGGGATATAGAATCAGGACCTGACGTCTTACTTTGATTAATTGTGCTAAGGCGTTTTGATAGCTTGTCTTCATCAAATGGAACTTGTGAAATTGTGGTCGAGACTTTATACAAGTAAGTCATATCAATGAAACCCTCTGCAGAGTTAATTTTGGAGGCAAGGGTTGGTCCTATTGTTGTAAAGTAATCATTCATAGCCTCAGCTTTGACCACATCATCAAAGATAATATTGTTTTCATCGTCCTTGATTGGGCCAATCAGAGATTGCACCTTTTATTGGTTAATTTTCCGACCAGCCTCCATAAGTCCTTGCTTGATTTGATGTCGGCGAACTTTTCTTTCCTGACCAGTAATTTGCTTCAGCAGTCCTCAGGAGATAAGACACTTAATTCCTAAGTTTTTTTATATTCATCCCATGATTCCTTACTACCAGTTCCCTTTGCGAGATTGAGAGCTTTGAATCGCCTATTCATAGTTTTTCGTATATGAGAGTTCATCTATGGTAAACTGTTGTGACCCTCTAAGGTTTCTATTTTGTTGTTGCAATTTCATTGCTGTTGACAGAGCGTGAATAAGTGTCGGGGATTATCATAGCCCCCTCGCAGGTTCAAAAAAGGCTCAAGAGGACTGTATCTTTCAATACATGCAAGTTGCAACAGTGTACAATTGTCACTCGTTCAACGATCAGACACAAATTACTGTTCTAAGTATGCAGGGCTTTTTCTACTGTACGATCGCGTAAGGAATTGTTTTTAATTAAAATAAATCACATGTAAATTAAATTCCCAATTGTAATGTAGTTAATATTGCAAAATCGCACGTTCATGCTTATTACATCATTTAATTAACGCCAATGAAATCGGAACGTTTGGTCAATAGGCGCTAATCACACCAGCCAGCGGATAAAGCGGTCTCCCCAATTTCAATTCGCCTTTTAACACACGTGTCAGGACAAAAACAGGACGAAAAAGGTAAAAAACAACAACAAAAAAAAAACAAAAAGAGAAAAAGGGGAAGGAATCGTGGAAAAAACGGGAAACAGGTGAAAGGGTAGAAAACACGGGAAAAAAGGGAGAATCATGGGAAAAACATTTAAAAAAACACCCGAAAACAGGGAGAATCAGAGGAAAGCATAGAAAAACAACGAAAAACAGGAAGAATCAGGGGAAAACACAGAAAAACACGAAAAAACAGGGCGAATCAGGGAAAAACACGGAAAACATGTGAAAAGAGGGAGAATCAGTGGAAACAGAAAAACATGTGAAAACAGAGAGAATCAGTGGAAAACAGAAAAACCCGAGAAAACATGGCGAATCAGAGGAAAACATAGAGAAACATGGAAAAACAGGGAGAATCAGGGGAAAACATAGAAAAACATGGGAAAACAGGGGAAAACGTAGAAAAACAAAGGAAAACAGGGAGAATCAGGGGAAAACATACTAAAAACATGAATATACAGGGAGAATCAGAGGAAAACATAGAAAAACACGAGAAAAAAGGGCCAGTCAGGTGAAAACAGAAAAACACTAGAAAACAGGGCGACTCAGAGCAAAACATAGAAAAACATGGAAAAACAGGAAGAATCAAGGGAAACATAGAAAAACATGGGAAAACAGGGGAAAACGTAGAAAAACACGGAACAACAAGGAGAATGAAGGAAAAACATAGAAAAACATGGGAACACAGGGAAAAACGTAGAAAAACACAGGAACACAGGGAGAATCAGAGGAAAACATAGAAAAACACGGAAAAACAGGGAGAATCAAGGAAAACAGAAAAACATGGGAAAACAGGAGAAAATGTAGAAACACACGGGAAAACAGTGCAAAACATAAGGAAACACAGGAAAGCAGGAAGAATCAGAGGAAAACATAGAAAAACACGGAAAAACAGGAAGAATCAAGCAAAAGCATAGAAAAACACGTGAAAACAGGAGAAAACGTAGAAAAACAGGGGAAAACAAGGTGAATCATCGGAAAACATAGAAAAACACGGAAAAACAGGGAGAATCAAGGAAAAACATAGAAAAACATTGGAAAACAGGGGAAACGTAGAAAAACACGGAAAAACAGGGAGAGTCAACGAAAAACAGGAAAACATGGTGAAACAGGAGAAAATGTAGAAAAACACGGGAAAACAGGGAGAATCGGGGAAAGCATAGAACAACACGAGAAAACAGGAGAAAACGTAGAAAAACATGGGACAACAGTGAGAATCAGGGGAAAACAGAGAAAAACACGAAGAAACAAGGGATAACGTAGGGAAAACAGGGGAATGCATAGGATTGTAGGGAATCTTTTATATAGGACAGCACTTATTCAATACAACTAATGCGGTCCCAATAGAAATACACACGCCTCCTGGAAGTAAAGAGGGTTTGCCTTGGCTCCCCTAAAAATGTATAACTAACAGTAAAGGTTATTGAGTATCACATATTGTGATGTATAATCTAAAGAGGGTAGTTTATACGTAACGGTTTGTCGGTCCGATTTTGCAAAGAAAACCTATTCTGAGCACAAAACTCGGCCTAATTTACCATTTGTGTAGAATCAATGTTGAGACGTAAAGATTGACCTATAAACATAAACTGTGAACTGGACGTAGCTAGAGAGTGTCGTGAATGATAACCAGCCTTTTTAAAACATTACACTTCATGGGCTATTAGCTTCTGAAAGGTGGATGTGGCTGGGGGTGTGTGGGTTCAGTGATTCACACATACGGCTAAGAAATTCTTTCCGCGCCTATTACTGTGATCGAACTTGATTTATAATTTTTGCTTTTAGTTTTAAAATCAGTTAAGTATATATACATTTTTGGTTTTAAGTAATTAACAGTTTATAAAGGGACGCTTCGATTTTAGCCCTAGCTAAATATACTAGAAAAGTGGATAGTGTTTTTCGCGCTCTCTGATTGGCTAGAGGATAGAAATGCGCTTAATAAGAATCTATATTATTATTATTATTATTATTATTATTATCATTATTATTATTATTATTATTATTATTATTATTACTCAATCAGTGAATATCCTGCACTACCACTGATTCACCTCCACTTCCTCGGCGCGAGCGACGCCAAACTCACGTAAGTTGCGAGTAAAATGCCTTCCCGGTCTGCTGCCGTAACAAACAAAGAAATTTCCCAACTAATCAAGCAAGCTGTTTCCGAAATACACGAAGAAGGCGACGAAGTTCAGTTTGGACGTTTTAACAGGCAAAGCTTTGTCTTTTTGACTTGAATTAATCGATAAAACTGGTGAAAAAAGTTTTTTGTTTACCAAATGCAAGTAGAGGAGTTCACGCTCATAGTTGCATCATGGGTAATGAGGGCAAGATGGCGGGAAATTAGAGGATTTGTATTAGAATTCAAAGCGAGCTATTTCTTCCTGAATTCATATATTTGATTCTTTCTCTTTGAAAAAAAGTAACTTACGAGTTCAAAGAAACAATACACTAAATCTGGAGTGCAGAGAAGTTCGTGATCAGCTTTTGTAAAACCTTTGTTTTCCCACACATTTTCTGTAATTCGACAGTATCAAACTTACAGAAAATGTACGGAAAAATTGATGCAACTTTGAGCGTGAACTCCTCTATTAAGATGAAGTATTGCATTACTATATTTAGTTGACTTGGTCATAAATAAACGTATAACTAAATTTAATATTTTTTTACAAAATGATTTTAAATACAAAAAGAATTCACAACTCCTTTTGAAGAGATTTCCCCACAGGAGCTAGACAAATGCCTTCAAAAATTTTATTTGTCGGCAAGAAAAAGCGACGACCGTAGCCGTTCGGTCATTGCGCGCCAAAGTTGTAATTTTTGGCAACAGTAAATGAGTTAAAAATCATCATTGTGCTCAATTATCTCACTTCTTTATTATATACTAAAACAATTATTTACCTCATTGTGGGTGGGTATTTACCTCGCCGCTTCGCGTCTCGTTAAATATAATTGTTATTGCCAAAGAGCAGCCTTGCGAAGAGGCAAGGGCGCGAGGCGGCAGCCTAATAGAGCCGTGCGCGATTGTTCCAGGGGCAGAAAAAATCTTGAATCGATGTAACATAGAGTAATGTAAGGAAAGCATGGCGTAATGCAGGGCAGGGAATGCATTGTTTACGAGCGAACACGTGATACAGAATCCACGAACCGTGTGCGCGTTGTGAGTGCCGTGTTCATCCCGTCTACAACCAATCGTCGGGTAGATCATTTCCATCCTACGCGATATCTATCGCATTCTCCCGCTGGAATTTTTTATTGCACGCTGCTAAGAAAGATAATAACGCAGCGACATTTTTTGTGCCTTTGAAGCAAAATAATTCGGAAGGCTTCATTGGAGCACCATAACTTTTTTAGCTTTAAAAAGAGACCAAATATAAGTCTGTACGTTGAATAATCGCGGACTTTAATCTTATTTTTCGAGGATTTTAAGTTTGCTTATAAGACCACTAAATTTTGCGCAAAATGACTTGTGCGCAACTTCGGACAAAAACTCCAACTTCAATATCTCAAAAACTTTGCAGTTTGGCTCACTATTTTCAAATTAAAGCAAGGGGGCACACATACACCAAACCCATGATCCGTCTTCCCCGCGCATTTCGTGGGAGAACTGCCGTGCGGTTCCCAGCCAACAGCTCCCACATGTGTTGTCTGGAGCTGGCGCTTGATAGACAGCTTTGCACTCACCTCGGCAGTAAGAGATTTTTGAGACGCGGGTTTCCCCGGTTCATTAACCCGACGGCTTTGTCTCGCTGGTGGACCCACATAAGTGCGAAACAGCTGTCTTTACTGCGAGCGCGATATGGCTGCGCGCATGCTTGAGGCACTTGCCCGGCGGTGGGTTGGTATATGTGTCCCACTTGCTTTAAATTTGCACTATTTTCAATGCAATCGAATCAAGTTCAATCTATTTTTCAGCAATTACTGTATTTCATGACATTTCTAAACAAATTCAACGGCGCGCGTGTATAGGTAAATCCTTTGCTCGTTGGCACTTAGCGATTGCTATAACTAGTATTTATGCTTTATACTGTAACAGAAGCAGTACCATCGTTCACTGAAGAGCCTTCAAATCCTTCACGTGTTGATGAAAGGGACAATATAACTCTTCGTTGGACTTACAACATTGATGGCACCTTTAGAGATTCAGTTTTCACGTCGGTACGTACGGGCGATACCATAGCACTGAAAGATAGCAGCGGCTTGACCGTGGTTCCCGCATTCTCAGACCATGTACAAGTGATTATATTAGACAGTGAAGCAACGTTAACACTCCTTCATGTGAATAGATCAGACGATGGAGATTATCGATACTTCATTCGGAATACTAATTTCAGGTCAACAACAAGTACTGTCAATGTCATTGTGCAGTGTAAGTAGACAACAACACAACAACTTAACTATTCTGTCTTCTTGTACGTATTCGTGCCATTTATATGCATCCTCCCTTCCCCTCTCCTTCCCGGTGGCCAAGATTTTCTCAGGAGGTAAGCTTATACGAAATAGAAATATGGAATTTCGTATGGTTGTAGGAGTGAAAGCAAGATGAAGGGTTAAAGGAGAAATGCAAATTTCAGAAGATTAGTAAAGTATTTACTTGTCTTGTACCTCGCGAAGCTTTATAGAAAAAGGACCGATAGAGGGCATAAAGGCCAAAAAAGGGCCAAGTGAGACGTAACACAAAGACCATTAAATGTTCTCTTACTTTGATTTTCACTCATATTTTGAAGCTAGAAATCCACATCACCTCTATATTCTATTTAAAGTACTTCTGTTGTCAAAATTCATGCCCAAAATCATTTCTTGATCACTAAATCGGTCACAAAGAAATTGTTCCAGCTTTTTCCTGTCATGGTTCTGTTGCTAGGCAATTGCAAACACCAACCAAACCAACAGAATATGTGAAGTGATGTCTCACTTTTGGTTAAGTGATCCTCAAACAATTCATGTGCAAGGTAATTAAATTTCAACAAATTCATAAACCTCGCTTCAAGAGGAATTTATTTACACATTATATATACAAGGCCAAATAGAAAACAGGCCTCATGAAGCAGGTGCTCTGACATTTTCAGTGGGCTGAAAGTAAACAAATGAATGCGCAGCAGTGTTGTTGCAAGGTTTGAATGACTATTTCTTTGTTCTTTAAAGTGCTAATACGACGTAAATTTGGAAGTCCTTTTTTTTCTTTGGTTATGGAAAGAAGACGTACTAATATAGTAACCATGCCGATGTTTTTGCTCAAAATTCACACAAGAAGTCCGATTATTTTGCCAAAAAAACATTGGCTTTCGCTGTCTGCCATTAGTTAGGCCGCAAAATGACCAGGAGCGAAATAATGGTTGGGACTAACTTGAACGACCAGGAAGTGACTTCAGACTCGCATCGATCCAAAATCGCGTGGCTGATTTCCTCTGCAGTCTATGAGAGATGTGAGATCACCAGGTTGTTGAATTTATAACTTCAAAATGTCTCCACACCAGTGTGTAGTGCAAGATTGTGATCTTCGTTTGACTAGGACTGGTAACATGGGAGAGTAAACGTGTTTCGCCGAGCTCCCTCCCTTTACAGTTTTTTTAATGCTGGGCAAACGCAAAACCGGTCAAAAGCTTCCAAAGATTCTTTGCCATCCCCAGATCAAAAAAAATCGAAAGACGAAGGAAAGGCACACTCAACTGCATCAGTACTGACGAAGTGTTCGAAGCTTTAGAAATGGCGGAAGGTATAGGGTCGAAGCTTGAAGCGGTACTTAAAAAATTAGAAAAGCTGGATACAATGAGCCAGATGCACACAACACTAGCAAGTATTGAAGAAAATGTAAGCAGGCTGGACTCGGATGTCGAAGATCTCAAAACAAAGTCCAAACAGCTTGTCTCAACAGTCAATGAATTGAAAGAAAGCATCCGATTTAATGAGGAGAACATATCCGAATTAAAACTTGAAAACCAAAAGTTACAACAGGATGTCTGCGAGCTCCAGAAACAACTTCTTTACAAGGAGACTTACTCAAGGAGTGAAAATGTAAACTTTGTGGGGCTACTAGAAGAGCAAGTTGACCACATGAATGGCGCGCAAGCAAAAATAGAAGATACAAGAGGGATTATCTATAAATCTCTCGAACATCAACTAAATATTCCAATTCCGCGACATAGAATTCTATTCTGCTTACGAAAACCGAAAAATGGAAGCTCGCGTCAAATCATTGCACGAGTTTTACGTTATGGGGATAAGGAACTAGTGATGGGTCAGGCCCGGAAAAATCTGAAGGAAACGGAATTCCATGTCTACGATGACATCCCAAAGTTATTGTACGACTCGAAGAAAGGACAAATGAAGAAGTTTCAGAAGGCCAGGGAAAAAGGCTTTAACACCTACTTCAGTAAAGCTCAGCCAGACAAACTGTATGTCAACGGAAAGTACATTGTCCCTGGTGAACCGATAGAGTGATATCCTTTTCAATAATACGTTTTTCTCGGCGAATGCCAAATAATCTATTTGCAATTACTTTTCCACTTATTTAATGCTTTTTTTCAACTTTTTATGTATAACGATGTCAGGGAGTTCTATATATAGGCCCCCTTACCAAACCATATGTATTTTGAAACTGATTTTAAAGTATTTAAAATGTATTTTCAGTATTTGAACACTATTTTCCTGTATTTTAATACTATTTGACAAAAAATTTAAATTTTCGCCCCTGTTTGAAATATATCTTGAGTGTAGTTAAATTGTATTTCATGTAAAGGAAAACCTCTCTCATCAATTTACAATGTATTTTGTTTAATAAATATGATTAAAATAGAGTATTTAAAATGTATTTTGGGCATAGAACCACTAACACTGTTACAAACAGAGTTCAAATAGACTATTTGAAATATGTTTTAAGGGCTTTTATGCTGACTGTAATTAAGATACTTTTAAATAGGGTACTTTAACTCTGTTTTGAGTTGTATCTAAAATGTATTTTGAGACGCATCCACTCACAAAGTTACAAACATAGTTCAAATAGACTATTTGAAATATGTTTTAAGAGCCTAAATGCTGACCGTATTTTAAATCCTTTTAAATAGGGTACTTTAACACTGTTTTGAGTTGTATCTAAAATGTATTTTGAGACGCATCCACTGACAAAGTTACAAACAGAGTTCAAATAGACTATTTGAAATATGTTTTAAAACCTTAAGAACTGACCGCATTTTAAATACTTTTAAATAGGGTACTTAAACACTGTTTTGAGGTCTATTTGAATTGTATTTTGGGCACACAGCACTCTGACTATAAAAACAGATTATCCATAAACTATTTGAAGTCTGCTTAAAGTCATCAAATGCTTACCTTATTGTAAATACTTTAAAGTAGTGTACTTATAACTTATTATTACTAGGGTGCAATACTGTAATGTCTTTTGGGAGACTTATACTCAGACTATAAATAAAAGTAACAATTGCACAAAGTTAATTTTTAAGCCTTCATCGTGTCACGAACTCATAAATGACTCAAAACAAGCTGTCACATATTGTGGACCGGATTCTCCTCCCAACAAAGTTCGAAGCTGAGCGAAAAATTAAATCTAAATTAAATAAAAAAAGAGAAGAAAATTAGGAATAGGTTTTAGCTTTGACTGACAACACGTAACTGTGACAGTGTTCCGATAAAAGATCTATCCGTTCCTCACTGTTCATTACCTGCAAGCTCTCTGCGAAAATCTCCGCGTAGATTTTAGCCGTGATTCAATTAATGCAGTTACGGGACTTTCCATAAGTTTTTTAAAAGAAACTTCTTAAAATCGCATTTTAATTTCATATAGAAATTTTTTCACAAACAGCCGAAGCCGCGGGCCGAGAACCGGATGCACGCGGTCAACAGAGGTTTATCTAAAATAAGCCCTTGAAATTACATAATAAATAAATTATCCAAGCTAAGATCTCACCTCATATATATTGCATCAAGAAACAAAGCTCAGATATGAATAAACTCCGACATATGGTTATCTTTCTCTCATAGATTATTCCGCACATGCATGGCATATTATTTCTAAGATGTCACGCGCGACTGAAATCACGACTTCGCGCCGCGGTGATGTGACAAATGCACGTGATAAACAAACCGTCCTTTGTCCTTTGCTCATTTCAAATTATTGTACCGGCGGTTGCTGTGATGGCGGGTGCGCTTGATTTTACTGTTTGTTACGATCTTACAAAAGTATACATTTCAACTCTGCGGATTGTCTGAACACGTAGATGTTGCATTTATCACGGATCAAAAATGGGTATGACTCCTCAGCGACTGTTATGTACTTTGAAAGGATCTGGTTCAGTTTCTCTCCGAAGCACGCGGTCTTGTGCTGTCTTGTGTGTTAATCCAAGAGTCTTCTGTTATGTGAGTATTATACACAATATATGCATAACATGTTACTAAGACGCTTAAGTATACGCCATATGAGAAACAAATGAAGGGTAGTAAACATTTATATACTCCCGCCTGTACGGCAATTTTAGTTTTTACAGGGTTCCATGCTCAGCCTCGCTGTTCTCAGTCACTTGATGTCACGTCACCGACCTCTTTCATGCTCGTGTAAATTTGATGGTGTTATTCTTATGTTGTTCTTTATCAGCCAATAATTAAACGTTCAGGCGTAGCCTGCAAGCTTCTGATAATAATTGAGTAAAGCCGTGAATATAATAAAAAATGTAAGTTACATGTATGTAGATTATTATTTACCGGTAACGTAACGCAATACTCTTTTGAAGCGGAAGATTGATAGCCTGTGTACCGACCCCCTTCCCCTCCGATTTTTATTGAGGGGAGGGGGTTTGTACACAGGCTAAAGATTGATTTCAGCATTTCTGAAAAATTCCATAAGAATTTCCCGAGAATTCGTAGGGAAATCAACGTAAAGTAATCGGCTAAGAGATAATTCCGGTGAAATCCTAGCGTAGGACTGTGTGGAGAAATTTCGCAGAAGTAAATCTTGCTTTTTCAGAGTAATTTTCGACGGTTTTGTATTCATTTTATTTCATGAATTTAAATGGTATTTTCATCCTGTTTTTGTACTGTTTTTATGCTCTTTCGACCGATTTTTGTACTGTTTTCAGACAACTCTAAGGCTATTTTCTTACAATTTTATACTGTTTTTGCATTTTTGCATCCTATTTTTGATGTATTTTCACAATATACGCGTGCTATTGCTTTTCTTCCTCTGTGGTATTTTAATACTATTTTCAAAGTATTTTTATTGTATTTGCAAATACGATTATTTTACTAAATTTCGAAACCCATTAAAAAGCTATTAAAATATATTTTGAAGCATAACATTTTAATAGCGTTTTAAACAGGTTAAAACACCTTTAAAATCAGTCGAAAAATATATTAAAAATATATTTTTGGACCTATTTTAAACCTGTTTTTTTCAAAATACGTTTAAAATTGCCATTAAAAATAGTTTTAAAATAGTATAGCAAATTAAAATATGTTTCTGAAACTGTTTTTATCCTGTTTTTATTCCGATTTATAAGATATTTAAAAACTATTTTAGACCTGTTTTGAGCCTTGCAAAAGCCCTGGAATTTTTTATATATTTTAAACGAATTTAAAAATACATTAAAAATTCTTTTTTAATAGCGTTTTAAACAGGTTAAAACACCTTTAAAAGCAGTCGAAAAATACATTAAAAATACACTTTTCACCCTATTTAAAACCTATTTCACAAAACAGGTTAAAAACAGTTTTCAAAAATAGCTTAAAAATACATTCAAAACAGTGTTGGATTTGGTAAGGGGGAACATCGATCGGGCTATTACCAAAAGCGACGGAACGCAAAAGGATTTACTACTGTAATATGTGTCTGTATCTGTGTTTATGTTCTTCTGTGTGTTATCCGTCCTTTTCGTGTACCTTGTACAATTTGCATATATCTAGGCCTCGTAGTTACAATGCTAAATTACATAACTGCTCTTCTGACACTCTCAACAAAGGATTTCCTTTCTCATCTTTTCACCATGCAACCTGATGATATGGTAATTTGCTCCCTAAACGTCAGAGGTTTGTCAAACAATACTGAACGGAGAGAAACGTTTTTATGGTTAAAGAAAAAAAAGTTCTCTATTAATTTTACTTTTTGTAAGAAGTGTATAGCACAAAAGAGACAGAACCTTATTGGCATTCTGAATGGTGATATTCGACTATTTTTACAACCTTCTCAAGCTCTAAGGCAGGCGTTGCTATGCTGTTGAACAATAATTTCCTTTTTTAAATTCTGAAACATTTTGCCGACCCCGAAGGGAGGTTTATTATTACAGACTTAGATACTGGGGACAAAATTATTACACTGGTAAATGTCTACACGCCTAATGAGGACAATCCAGCCTTCTTTAGAAACGTACATGACAAGCTGTGCTCCCTTTGAATGCGATTTTGTAATTTTTGGTGACGACTTCAATTAGTTTGTGATGTTTCTAAAGACAAAAAAGGGGGTGTTGCCACAACACACTTGAAATCTAAAGATGAAGTAGAGGCTATCAGAGAAGATTTCGAACTGGCTGATATTTGGCGCATACTTAACCCTCCGGCCACGCGTTTTACGTGGAAAAGGGAAAACCCTGAGATCCAATGCCGCTTAGATTTCTTCCTCATTAGTCTTTCTCTTTACCCAGAGATCACGGAAGCCGACATAGTGCCCGGTTACCGAATAGACCACTCAATGATTACATTTCGCATAAACACAGCCCGAAACCCCAGAGGACCAGGTTATTGGAAATTAAACACACACCTCTTAACTAAAACGCAATACGTTGAGTTGATACGAACAACCATCGCTAACGTGTGTAAGGAATATGAAGGCCAGAGTGAAGTTGACGAGATTTTATTATGGGACGTCATCAAAATGAAAATTAGAGAAGCCTCTTTAAATTATACCGCAGCCAGGAAACAGCGTTTGGAAAATAGAGAAAATCAGTTAGAAGAAGAAGTTTTAGCACTTGAGAATAAGCTTGACAAACGTAATGCATCAGAAAAAGTGAAAGAAAACATACGGACTGAACTCAGAATTAAGAAAAAGCTAATAGAAGAAATAATCGCCTACTAAACTCATGGGGCTATTCTTAGATCAAAAGTGAAATGGTATAATGAAGGAGAAAAGAATACAAAACATTTCCATAAACTGGAGAAGCGGCACTTTAATAGTACCTTCAAAGCGCAAATGGGAAGAAGTTTTCGACGGACGTAGAGATTCTAGACGAAGCAAAAAAGCTACTATGGGCATCTTTACACGACTACAAGTGTTGATGTCAGTGATTATGATAATCTTTTTTTCCCTGAGGTTACTGAAACAAAGCTGGGTAATAATCAAAAAAAAAATCTTGCGAAGGCCAACTGTCAGCAACGGAATGCAGACAGAGTCTAAAAACAATGCAATCGGATAAATCGCCTGGGACGGACGGTATTCCAGCAGAATTTAATTATAAAGTTTTTTGGGACGATGTGTCTCCCTTTCTACTCGCCGATGAAGAAGAAGAAGTTGATGGTATTTTACTCGTATTATACTTCAGAGTATAATACCATCAACTGACGTGATACAACTCACTTTGACTCAGAAGATGACTACCTCACAGGTTGTCGAAACGTCAGTCACTGTCAAAAACAACAGTCCTATTCAGGACTATGTTCACCCGGGCGATCAAACTCAACCTACTTTTGAAATGACTCCTGGGTTCAAGCCTTTCACAGTATCTTGTTTCTATTGTTCTAAATTCAAATGCATTATAATGTGGGCACATTGACTGAATCGACGTTGAAAAAATTAAAGCCTAGAAGAAAAACAAAAATTTACGTCGTAGTAGCACTTTAACATAAACAGCAAGGCTCAACCATTAACAGTTGGTCATCAGACATTTGTTCAGCAAATTTGATGATTTTACCTAGGAATGATAAAGTCTGGCCTGTCACTTTGACTGGGCGCGTTTGATCCAAAGTGAACCTTAATTATACAACGTACTTTATCGATGCTTGGGGCAAAACATTGTTCTATTGCTTTTGGCTCAACACACACATTGACAAAAAAATGATCTGTAATTAAACAGTTAAAAAGCAATAAATTTGAGTTTAACTGTGCTGGTAAAGAATTTATTGCATCCATGAATCAGTCTTGTTTACATATGTGCATATAAGAAGCCTTATCTTGTGAAACAGCAGTCCAGTACAGTCAGGTGGCCTTTGAAGTAATATTGTTCCCAACTATAAAACAGAAATGTTTGTCTTTACATTAGGCTGTTAAGTATTTTAATACTTAACAGCCTACTTTAAAAAGACTTAAAGGAGCTGTGTCACGAAATTCAGCCAAATTAGGAAATAACAAAATGCCCGTTAAATTAAGAGGAACATAAAAATAACCGCTGAAAACTTTAAAGGAAGGTTAAAATAACATAACAGAAACAACAGATACCACGGATGGGCAAAACTGAAGAATATTGAAACGGATTAAAGTCAGGGTTTTTGAAAACTGTTCAGCCTAACAGTTTTTCAAAGTTGATCCCTGCGGCTTGCAACTTCAAAAATAATGCTCAGGAGACATATTTGTTCGTCTCGGATCTCTGATTTTGTCATTTACATGTAATTTCTTTGCTTACTTTAAGTTCCATAGCGATTGAGAGCGAACGTAGGGCGAATAATTGGCAAAATTAAACAAAATGAACTGGACTGCCGTGACACAGACCCTTTAAGAGCTGCTACGTTTTACTTAACCAAAAATGCAGGTGAGAGGGCCTATTGTAAGTAAAACCTCAAGTAACTTTACTTTTCATCTCATGAAAGTTGGAAAGGTTAAACAGTTCAATAAGGTCTCAAGTGATTCAAAACCATCCTTATGACCGACTTAGGTGACTTGCATTTTCTCGGGTTGTCAGTCAAGCTATTTGCTGCTAGTAGCTGTTGTGTTTCAGAATGTTTCAATTGGGTGTCCACCTCAAGGACTCCATGGCAGGTAAAACAAGTAGACTTTTTCTGTGAACAAATTGTGACAATCAAGCATGAACTGGATACGTTATCTATTACTGTTGCTCCTGTTCTTCTATTGATTGATGACGCCATAATTACATGTGAATTAAGCGAATTTTTTCCCACCTCAGAGGATGAACTTTCTGGTCTCGTGAAAAAAATCGCCGCCAAATCGCGTTCTCTTGATCCTGTAACTGCTTCTCTTTTACGTTATTGTATCGTTGATTTAATACCTATTATTAAAGGAGTCGTAAACCTTTCATTCAATTCAGCTTCAATGTCAAGTTCCGTGAAGAATGCAGTGTTGTCTCCTCTGCTGAAGAAACCGTCCCTAGACTTCGAAATCTTTTCTAACTTTCGACCCAGACGACGATCGAACAGTATCTCATGATGCATTTTTCCAGAAGTATCACGCAATATCGCAGTCATGGCAGATTCTGACGTAAAATAAGGTCGTCTTCTCGTCGGCTTTTTTCGCATTCGATTTCCAGAAACAGTAAGAATATTGCATTATCTCGTTATTTGACGTGTTTTTCCCCGATTTGCAATGCCTTAAGAGCAACGTTTCCACAGAGAAACATTTATTTTCGTGGTTTCAACTCGTCTTCCCGTCAAAAAGTGTTCAGTGACCCACAACAAGGTCATGAATATTCAAGAATTTTAAGAATATATGTTGAAATCTTCAAAATGTGGACCTCATACCAGAAAAATGAAGTCCTGAATATTGTACAGGTTAAGAAGTACCAGAAGTACCCACATTTTGAAGACTTTTTCGTCGACGAAAGATGGCTGAAATTTCGAATCTTTTATCACATTTCAACGCCATGGGTGGGAATATATGGGTAAAGTCCGCTGAAGGCTAAAATCTGTTGGGCGCTTTCGAGAGCGCTTTATGCCGAAGCAATCACTTTGTATTTTCAAAGTGGTTATTGTTACAAGGAATTTGAATGTAACCATTTTCATTCGAAGAACGAGCGGTGAATAATGGTGTGTTTCAGTGTGATAGGAACCCAAAGAAAGGTGCCACGCAGCATGGTAGTATCGAAAACGAAGCACTCGAAAACGAAGACCGAAGCACGAAGTACCCAAATCTCGAAAACGAAGCACCCTAGATCGAAAACGAAGCACCCTATCTCGAAAACGAAGCACCCAAAACTCGAAAACGAAGACCCCTAAATCTCGAAAACGAAGCACCCAAAAACTCGAAACCGGTCTGTCCTTTATAAACACGAGACCAATGCTAATACAGCAGGAATCAAGCACGATAACGAATCGAATTCTCCTGTTCCCCACCATAGAGCCTGGTCCCAGGCTGTTATCCTAGAACAAATTCTGCCTGGATCTGATCTGTTCTGATCACGCAGTGTCAAAGATATCCAATATGTTAGACTGCAAAACAATCGCTTTTTTTTTCTCAAAATCAGTAAAGAAGTCGGTAAAGCGTGGCGTAAGAGTAATAAGCGCGAGCCTCACACTCCGTTTTCAGCCTCGTTTCAGACCTTTCGTGTTACTGCTCACGCGTACTTAAATACGCCAAACTCTGCTGACGGACAGTTTTGAAGTCTACATAAACATGTATGTGTACCGAAAAAATGCATATTAAGGTAAGATGTATCAAGTATAGCGAGACTAATAGTAAAATTAATACAGGATATCCTATCTAGAAACGTTCAGTGAAACAGTTGGTTATAAAACCTTGTGATGGATTTTGTGGACCTTTGGAGGTGCGGACGCATCCGCTGCTTCCACCTGTTTCGGATTGCGTCATGTAAGACGTAAAGTTGCACTTATTAAACCTATAGTACTTTCGAGTTTTGGGTGCTTCCTTTTCGAGATTTGGGTGCTTCGTGCTTCGGTCTTCGTTTTCGAGTGCTTCGTTTTGGAAACTACCCACGCAACATGCAAGCCGGCACAACGTAAACAAGCCTGCTCAGAATTTGAAAAAGAAACATCAGAAACTTTATTTAGTCAAAAGAACAGATCAGTACTCTGGCCAGGAAATTTCCTTGAAGATTGCTTGAGTCAGTACCAGGTAGATTGTGCTTCAGAGAATTGTTTGTCGCATCAGTAGGTTAAATTTTGTTTGTAATTGCCGTTGTAAACTGACAGCTGTGAGGGCGATGCTGTAATAAATCCTCCTTTGGTAATTAGCTTTACAGCGCGTAGCGGCTGTTTTTTTTGGAACCACTTTTTAGATCATTCATGGTTTTGGTTCTTCTCAGGCCTGAGTTCTCCTAGTGAACCTAGCGAAGCTTATCAGTTGTCGAGTCTTATACTTCGTGTTTACAGTGCCACCGAGCGCACAAGCGGTAGTTCTCGACAGATCAGTGAAACACATGTAAAACCCTTCTTAGTCAAAGTAACGCTGAAATTCTCCTTTAAAGCACAGCGAATATAAGCCAACTCGATAATCTCAAAAGCAGAAGCTGCTGAACCGAAACATGTTTGGAACCATCCACATCGAGCACTGCGATGTTCATTTCGCGCGTGCTGAAGATTACTGATCATGTTATGTCACGTACGCAGTGATAATGTAACATGAAACGAGCTGCATCATGGGATACAATTCGATCGTCGTCTGCTTTCGACCTGTATCTAACCTGAAGTTTTTGTCTAAAGTTACTGAAAAAGTTGCAGCCATGCGTCTGACTAATTATTTGTGTGATATTGATCTGAATGAAAGTCTTCAGTCTGCTTACAAGAAAAACCACAGTTGTGAGACAGCGCTTCTACGTGTTCAAAATGATAAACTGAAATCAATCGATGATAAACAATGCGTTGTTCTCTTGCTGCTAGACCTATCAGCAGCCTTTGACACCGTCGATCATAAGATCTTGTTACACAGACTGCGATCCAGGTTTGGTATAAAAGGAAAAGCGCTTTTGTGGCTTCAGTCTTATCTTATGGATCATTCCCAGTCAGTTCAGATTGATGGATTTACCTCTGCAGTCCGTCCGCTCAGATTTGGTGTACCCCAGGGGTCCGTGTTGGGTCCGTTGCTGTCTCTGTTGTACACGGCCCCACTAGGTGACCTAATACGATTGCATGATATGGACTTCCATCTATATGCTGACGATACTCAACCGTACACCACCTTCAGTTGCGATGATAAGGATGATCTTACCGCTACAATTTCCCGGATTGAAAGCTGTCTTGTCGATATCACCAACTGGATGACTACTAACAAACTGAAACTAAATACTGACAAAACGGAACTTCTCATTTTCTATTCTAGGTTCAGATTGTTCCCAGGGCTACCTTCTATTAAGATAGGAACTGATATCAGTCAAGCCTACAGATAAGGCGCGTAATATCGGCGTCATTTTCGATAACAACGTAACGATGTATTTTCATATTAAAAACATAGTTAAAGTGGCATTCTACCACCTTAGAAATATAGCTAAGATTCGTAAGTATATCAATGCCACAACGGCTGAAGTTCTTGTGCACGCATTCATAAATTCGAAGCTGGATTTCTGCAACTCACTTTAACATGGTTTTCGCAAGTATGAAATTAACAAACTGCAAAGTGTCCAAAACGCTGCAGCGCTTGTGATTGCCTGCTTACGTAATTTTGATCACATAAGTGATACTCTAAAGGAGTTGCACTGGCCACCAGTGGAGCAAAGAATAATCTTTAAGATTAATCTTATTTGTTTTAAGACACTAAAAAAATTAGCTCCTGATTATTTGGTCGACCTAATCCATGAACCTGCGAGGTACCTTCGCTCATCTTCAGACAAGTGGCGTCTTGTTATTAAACCTTATAACTTAAAGACATACGGTTTAAGAGCAACTCCATGCAAATATCGACCAAAGTGCGGCAACGCTCAAAAAATAAAAATCGCTCTTCTTTTGCATACTGATAGACTTTAGTAAGTGTACAAACGCCATGCAGTTTTTTCTTTGAAAGATCTGTTCGTTTCCGAGAAAAACAATAAAACCGTTTCAAGCCCCGCCGTCGATTTCGCAAGCCGAAAACAGGGTTAAAATTCACTATGATTCGCTCGACTTGCATTTCAAAATAACCGCTCTAGAAAAAAAGCTTTTTGCTAAAATTGTAAGTATAAATCGTTGTTGACCAAACTATATAATATTTTTAGCATTACAACAGTCTGAGTAATTATAAAAAGCTAAAGCGTATGTCTACCTGTTGTTCAACCACGGAAGGTAGTTGAAAAAAGTGCCGATTTTCATCATGTGCCTTTCATCAGAATTTTTCAGGATTGAAGGGGAAAACGCTACAAGCATCAAACTATTATGTTGTGTTAAAATTATTCTGGGGAAATCATTTTGAGCTTCTTGAAATTATTTGAAATTCCTGTTACAGACAACATAAAATAACGCCATCCAACACATGAGTCACGCGACCACCACCAACAATTTGACTTTAGGTTTCCGTTTACAACGCTGGTAGCCTTGATATGTACAACAATTTTTTTGAAAAGCTCACCTTAACCTGTATCTGTTGTACTTCAAGCTCCAAGTTGTTTCATTTTGCCGTCTTATCACCTATGTTACCGTTGTCGTGAAGTCCGCTGGAATGTGTGCGTTCACATTGTAGCATTGTGGGGGTGCGTGACAGCTTTCTGGTAATTTCTTCATCCCTCTGTTTTCTCTAATGTTTTCAAGTTAACATCTCGTGCTTGTTAAACATTTTGAGAAACCTGGACCTTAAAAAAGCCGTCTATAAAATAAAACTCGGTAGTTTAATGTTTCGTCAAAAAACCGTAATGATTGCGTGACTATGAGCATTGATTTAGTTAAAGTTTAGAGGAATTATGTTTAAGAACGTTGATTGACATTGATTCTATACATTGATTGAAAAGCATTAGGTTATTGTATTTCAAACCAGTTTTTTCAGTAATCGAAGTGAGAAAGAAGTTTATAGTCTGTTTATGAATCCGCTTACCTGAAGAACGTTTAAAGAATCTGCTAACCTGTAAAGTGAGACTGTTATAGCGACCCGCCACAGAAGTAAGTTTACATTGAAGTTTTCTGAATTTAGCTACAAGATTAAGACTCGATTTGTGTTTGTTCTGATTGCGAATTATAAATGTATTTCTTTAGATCGAATAATTATTAAAGCTTGGCTTGATATTATGCGGTTTGTGGTGGTCATCACGAGCTAACCAGTTCCAATGGAAACATTTAACAAAGCAAGGTTCCTTGCTCGTGGATCCGTTCACTTTAATTAATCTCATTTGCATAGGAGTGTGCCAAGGGTCTACTTCCGGTGAAATACACGTCACGAGCTTTACCGACTTTCACCCGTTACTTCCAGTACACTGAAGAAGATTCATCTTTTATACTCCTCCTTCTTTAAAAACACTCCAGTTGCCATTATTTTACCCGAGAATCATCTTTAATATTTTGACGTTGTAGACATCTGATCAACATTATCGAATTAAATTTAGTTTAATTTGATTCAACTGTTGATTCCCACTTGAAAAAGAAAAAGATCTTTGCATAAACACTGTTTGTGTGCGCTCTTCTTCGATGAAGCTATGGAAGGTTCGTGCTCATTCGAGTCATTAGTAGGTACTCTGTGTTCGTTTGATAGAAGGGAGGAGGCAGAGATCAACTGAGATTGTGCCTTTGTCGCTGTCAAACTATTAAGGACGCAGCTGGGCCTCAAAAGGTCGACATTGTCTCTTTCTGGTATTGAAAGCGAAGCAGACTTTATTTTAGCTCGGAACTGACCAGCCAGACCATTCCCGTCACAATGATAATTTCCCTTTTAATCAAACTCTTCAGCTAGGTCAGTCAAATCCGAAATAGTATGCTCGAAAGAGAACGTTTTTCAGCAAAAACTCGTGGAAAAATCCTATTTCATTTTCAAAATGACTGGTCGGGCGATGGTCCAGCCGGCCAGTTCTGACAGATGGAAAGCGCTCTAAGTTCCTTTAGTATATGACCTTTCCATCGTTCTGAGCTCGGTATTGGATGGCGACGGAACAGTTATCATGAGTTATTCCGATTCGTGCCAAGTTCCAAAGGAAATCGCCAATCACATAATTGAAAGAAGAGGGAAACCTGTTAAAGCCGTCAAAGGAGTTAGAAGAAGAACATTTCAGAATATATCTATTAGCAAACCGGTATCCTCATTCCTGTAGGTTCAGGTACTCTTGGCTATTCATTCATTATATTCTAATAAGTCACTTAGATTCAAGAGTTGTCAATTCTCTTAGATAACCCAGAGTCTCCCGGGTACGGCACCAATCCACCTAATCTGTCCGATAAAATAAACCTTTCAGTTTTACTTTTGGTTTGAAATTAAACCCGATTTCCCCTGGAGTAAAACATTTTTTTTGTAAAAGTTAAAGATCATAGTCCAGTTCTGATAGCTTTGTTGTTGTCGTTTTTTTTATTATTACGATTATTTTTACACTTCCTTCAAGCGACTGACTTGTACCTCATTCAAGACAACGTGTGGGGGATATGGCATCGGACAGAACTCAACGATTCCACATTCGAACAGCAAAACAAGTGGTCGATGCAACTCTTGGAGAGATTGCAACCTCGTTCCCAGGGTTCTCTCCTACCCGCCCTACGGACGGACGGGAAGGAGATTGCGCCAAAAGACGCTGAAAAACTCTGGGTATCCTTAGTTCAATCTCAAATTGTAGCTCAGCAGACCAATGACGAAGCCATTGACTTCAAGCTCCTTGCAAAACTGGCTTCCTGGTCTTACTCGGCACAGGTTAAAGATCGCAAGGCTTTATCGGATCCTTCATGGCCGAGGTTCTGTTGTCTCCGCTGTTTGTTCCAGAAGAATGTATTTTTTTCGTTTTGGAAATTGTCTTCTTTCAAATGTACTAACAAAAAAAACGTAAGTAATGTTTGTTTCAATTCACGAAAAGTGACATTTAAAACAGCAGAAATTACATTAATTTTGTCCTTCATTAGGAAGGCACTCTGAAATAACGCACTTGCAGGCCAGGATTACCCACGTGCAGCCAATAACTGGAAGTTCTACCTGTGAATATGTGAAGAAAACATCTACACAATTTTTTGTTAACTAAAGACATCTTTTGATTTGATAATGCCGACGTCTCGAAGCAATGAAAATCTTCAGCGAGGCTACCAATTAAATTCTTCATTTTCAAAAATTTTATATTACACGCATGTTTTACGTTTGCATTTCGCCTGCTTTTAGCGGATCCTGACCCCGGGTCCCGGGATCTTGACAGCTGTAATCCGATATTACTGTTGAAAGTAATTTGCATACTGAGTCACAAAACGTCCGTAGGGCGCTTCATCCTTCAGATTGGCGCTTCCTTCTGCGGTGTCCAGCAGCATTTTGAGACAGAAGTTGTTGACAGATAAGGAGGAGAGGGTTTACTACGTGCTGAATTAACAGTAGCGAACTTCGTTAAAAAGCATGCGTGTTGGTTACGAGTCTCAAACAGAGTTTAATATAGAATGGCAAACTTAAACAGATGGCAACGGGAAACATTTTGCCGTAAACCTAGACCTGAAACAAAGAATAGGGTAAGTACTTTAACATTTAGGACTTTGTGCGTGAATATTAGCAAGACTTTTTAGGACAGACGTTTGATGATCTTTGCCTGGTCGATTGACGATACCGCATATGATAAAGATGGCGTTACTTTATGTTGTCTGTAAAACGATTTTCAAATAATTTCTGAGAAGCTCAAAATGATTTCCCCAAAATAATTTTTACATAACATAAACGTTTGATGCCTGTTGTGTATTTCCCTTCAATCTGAAAAAATTCTGATCAATGGCACATGATGAAATTCGTCGCTGTTTTCAACGACCTTTCGTGGGTAAACATCAGGTAGCCGTAGCTTTAGTTTTTTTTTTTTTTAATTACTCAGAGGGTTGTAATGCTAAAAATATTATATATTTTGATCAACTACGAGTTAAACTTAAAATTTTAGCAATAAGTTTTCTTCCTAGCGCGGTTGTATTGGAACGCGAGTCCAGCGAATCATGATGAATTTCAACCCTGTTTTTGGCTTGCGAAATCGACGGTGGGGCTTGAAACGGTTTTCTTCGTTTTTCTCAGGAACGAACGGATCTTTCGAAGAAAAAAATACATAGCGTTTGTATACTTACTAAAGTCTACCAGTCTGCAAAAGAAGAGCGATTTTGATTTTTTGAGCCTTGCCACGAATCGGCGATTTTGGTCGATTTTTGCATGGATTCGCTCTTAAGGGCCTTTTCAGTTATTGCCCCTATACTCTGGAACGATTTGCCTATTGACATTACATCGATCAATGATGTAAATAAGTTTAAATCTAAATTGAAGACCTTTCTTTTTAAGCGAGTTTACGAACTATCTTAGGTTTCTTATTTTGTATTTTTGTGACTGTGTATATATATATGTAAATGATTTTTTAAAAGATTTTTATTTTTTATCCACACCTTTTTGAAGCATTGTAAAGCGCTTAGCACTGAAAAGTATAGGCACTATATAAATATGTTTAGTATTATTATTTATTATTAGCATGCCAGTTTGGAGGTCTTGGACAGAGCCATGCTCTTCGTCTCCAACGTGCAGCTTGATGACTTTCTTTTCTGCACTAATTTAAGGGTAATCTGTGTTAAGAAAATGAGCATAACCTACACTCATTGAGCGAATGAAGGCCCCTACTTGCACTGTGTTTTAATTCATGATTTGATGCAAGTGTAAACCAAAATAGGCCAAAGGTATACTAGCACTGTACATCAACTTCTGCCCTATAGACTTGTGTCACGCAGTGGCCATTTTGTCCCAAGAGATAAAAAAAAGTTTTGTACTTGCTAGGCTAGCCTCGTTCTCACTGCGAGGCTAAACATGCAAAAAAAAAAAAAAAAGCTCTTTAATCTCCTGGGGCAAAATGGCCGTCGTGTGACAAAGATCTATTATGGGCTTAATTTAGAAAACCTTTGTTAAGCGGTCACCTGGCTAATTCCTGAGGGTGACCCGCTTAATAGAGGTTTGACTGCAAGATGTGTCTGTAGCATTATAAAATGGTGGTCTTGGAGCTGCTTTGGCATGAATATGTATTTTCATGTTCACTGATATGTGAAAAAATTAAACTACCAAATTGACGCTTTCTTATCCGTGCACAAGAACACCCCTACAACCACCTCTCAGTTTCATTGGAACAGCCAGAGAATATTGGACTTGTGGGCTAGCAATTGCCCTCAGAATTCACATGTAATAAATCATAATTATCATATTTGACCATTCCAACTATAAGGTACATGTAGCAACTTTGTTGAAAAATGAGGATAGCTAGGTTACAGGTCTACAGGCTCTCCACTACTCTCCCTTATCTTATAGTTTGTTTTATCGGGAAGTGTATAGAGTGATGGATCATTAAGTGGAAGGAAGCAGCCCTAAAGATGCTAGTACCTGTTTTATTTGTGCATTTTTTAATCAACTTTGAACAACTTACATGTAATACTTATCAGAGAATGTTTTAGAAGGTTTCAATTTTCCTCCCTTATTCCTTTTTTTCAGTCAAACCAGAGAATGTACAGGTGTCAACAAATGCCACTGGAAACCAAGCCTGTCTTGGAAGCTATTTGAACTTTACTTGCTCAGTTGGTACTCATGGTAATCCCGAAGTGTACTACTACCAGTTGTTTAGAAATGACACTGTTTTGGGCACAAGCAGTTCAGGAGAGTGGATCAGGATGCTGTCAAGCAGTGGAGTCTTCGCATACAGATGCCAGGCCAACAACACTGTGGGAGCAGCAAACAGCACAACTGTTACTATTATTGTTGGAGGTAAATATCAACAATAGTTGTACTGGTAATGTTCATTGCCAGTACGTTTGCACCATGCAATATGTACATGCCTGTTGGCATCCCTGTAGATTGTGTATCAGTGTGGGCTTCAAAACATGCGAGGAGGTTAAAAACCAATCAGGGGTCAATTAAACTGAAACTTTTACAAGACTAGCACGTAATTTACAAGTGTAAACTATTGTGTTCAGACCTGGCTAAAACAATAAGTTGAAAATAACACTTCTAAAAGTTTTATTAATAAAATTAACCCAGCAGTCTTCTTCTGCACTTATCATGATCCCATTCCCAATACATACCTAATTCTGTATAAAATTACAATTATCAGTATGAAGTGGGAAAATGCTTGTTCCCTTTATCCAGAGCTTCCCGTAGATGATAAATTCCTTCGTATGGAAACAAGTGACTGAAAATGATTGGCTGGGGTTGTAATGAGTCATTTCTGTCACTATACATGTAAGTGACATTAAAATGAGAGATCACCTATAGCCTAAGGGTCCTTTTAATATTTGTGGATTCGTTCTCCTGAGGACTAGGACCTCACATGTAAATTAGGCTTAGAGGACACAAGATGGCTGGTCTTTAATTTGGCGGCGGGCAGTTTCAAACCTGTTAATTCCTTGGTTAAAAGAATACTTAAAACAAAGAGGCATTCAAAGCTCTGGAAAACATAAGGTTGAACTAGAAGAACTTTGTGAAAAAAGTAGGGAGATGAAAGTCCCAAAGATTGCTACATCTACATAAGATGGAAACACGTACCACTCAATCAAAGAATTTCAATGAAAGAGCAACTAAAAACCGATGAGGGAGATCTGGGAAATCCATTGGATCACAAAAACCTTAATGGACCAAAAAATTTTACTTACTGTATGTAGCAGACTTTAGATTTCCAAATTTTTAATTTACCTGGCGGGAAAATATCCCTTACATTAAATGCTGAAAGCCTAAAATGTTTACAAATCTCTTGTGGGGTACTGCAAGTTGTATTTTGATGGACACTTGGAAGACCTTTCCTATCATCCTCCTGAACCCAATACTAGTAGTTACGGTTACTTCAAGTGAATGATCGAAATAGCTGGATCATTCACCCCACCTAGCATCAAAGATGTTGGAATTATTGGTTAGAATAACATCCATTGGTCTCAGGAGTGTGTGACTCCAAAGTTTGAACTCTAGTTGGTTGTTGAATTAGACATTTAAATTTTGTCCCTCTTCTACATGTAGATGCGCTAGACGTTTTCCTTCTGGTGTATCGTGTCTCATTCCATGAACCCTAAAGTTTATTAAGGTTTAATTATATATACGACGACATTCTGTTGATTCAGAGAGGCCTAGTTTTAGGTGTGACACAGTTCTTCCTCCAAAAGAAGTCTACAGTAACCAGTTAATTTTTCGGGTAGTCTGTAGATTCCAACTAGGATTATTATTATTTTTTTATCTTCAAGTTGTGTAGATATAGTTTTTCGGAGGCCATACTGATATTTACTTAAGAGTGATTTTATGCTTGTCTGATTACTATAATATATAGATTTAGCCAGGGCTAAAAGCGAAGCTCCCATTAATAAATCTATATTTTAAATCAAACAATAAACTTGTAATCCACAAATCAGTTAACTTAAGGGCACATTCATGTGACTTTTGAGAGAAAGGATAAGTTATTTTAGAGTGAAACATCTTACATCGAGTTGATAGCCTAAATACACATGTATGTACACCCAAAAAATAGCAAACATCTTCTATCACATTCAAGAGCCATAATGGCTCTTGATCACAGTAGATTAGGCCTCGAAAACAAATTCTTGGAAAACAAATCAGGCCGCATTTTTTGCGTTCGACAGGTTTACTTTACAAATTCTTCACAACAAATCTGAGGGTGTGTAAACCAACCTTTTACACTTTTTATACATCACATCTGAGGTGAAACAGTACTTTTTATCATACAGACCTCGGACAGAATACGGCATTTCACAATTTTTCAATGTTCAGGACAATCAATCGTGGGCTTTTAGCGAAACCGTTCAAAAAATTTCCAAAATCACCCATACGGCCAGCCGGTTCTCATTTTTAATGCGAGCTGTCAGTGTGGTCGAGTGTTTGAATGAACTTTAATGGAAATACGCTTCAACATAATAACGAATTTATTATCATTATTTTTTGTTATTTAATGGTTCCAGTTATAACGATGTGTAATCTTATAAAGCGACATTTCTAAGTACTCCTGCAAACGATGTTCATGAACGATGAAAACAAACACCACGGACAAGCGATTAAAATTGCAAGGGAGACTACTAACAATCAATAAAAGAAATATAATTCGTTAAAACATTTACAGAGACAACACTTTTCATTCACGAAGACAAGTATTAAAGTGTCTCTAAAAATGCTGAGTCTTTAAGCTTAAAGCTTAAGCTTAAGTTTATTTTGTTTTACTTTCAGCCGGTCTCCCGGTGTTTGTTTTTTTTTCAAAGATGAACTCCTCGAAGCAAGAAAATCACTCAAAGTTTTTCTTTCTACAGCCAAATTGATAACTAAATATTCTTCGGAACGTTTTTTTTTTCTATTTGCCGTGAGAAAATATATCTGAAGGCCTTTTAAAGTTCTGTAAGCTTATATCAAACCTGATACTAGATCAGATCATTGACTCAAACGTGCAAAAACTTGCCGCATAAACTGTGCTCGGCTTCATGAAATTAGATATAACAAAAACAAACATCAAATACAATAATTACTCAGGCTTACCATTCGAGATTCAGTTCCTGAAAGATATCAAGGAAGACCATAGTTGCTTGAGACTTTTAAACCCTCTTACGCATTGAGCAAGGTGAAAGACGAAAACGATGCCATCCGAAATCGGATTACCCAATTTTGACAAGCGACGCATTTCTCAACCAAAAACCCAATAAACAAACCAGCCATGGATAACAGAAGACTCTTGATAGCAGCTGTATTTCATTTTGTACATCCAGTGGAAAAAGACAGTTAAAAACATCACAAGTTGACACAAAACTCTGTCAGCTTTGTTTAGCTGTCAAAGTAAACAACTTTCAAGATGCTGCATAAATTTTCCGCATGAACTCACCTGTCAAATTTTGACCAATCAGAGTACAAAAATTGGACGTAGAGCGTGACCAACGCGTGACCATGGTAAGAAAAGGTCTTCCCCGCCTTTATTTTTAAAAAAAGTGGCTGAATTTTCGCGTCCGAGGTCAGTTTGAAATCAAAATCTTGACAGTGCGGGGCCATAGTGACATAAACACAATATATTTCATATGAATCATGAATCATTGGAAAAAAATAGACTTGAGCCTGCGATCATTTGAAACTGGTAATTTGTCAGCGGATAACTTCAAAAAAGTACTCGACCTCCATGGGTCGACTCTTGAGCCCGCGCTACGGTCAGGTGATACTGGTCAGCGGATATCCTGTTTTAACAGCTGTCAATTGATCACAACATTGATGTGCAATTAGTTTTCTATTGGGCTCCCAAACTAGCTAGAAAGTGTGAGAGTAAACATTGGTTTCCCTGTTGTGCGGACGGACGGTCGGGCGTACGGTCACGTGATTACCAAATTTTCTCGGATGGGTAGGTTACCACATTTCCTTAGCTATGGGGCTCCGTCCACGCGCGCGCTTCGCGCGCGGGTGGAGCTCCGCTAAAATTTCCACCAGTGATTGAATATGAATTGAAGTTTGTCAAGTTTTTAAGTGAATTTGATATCACTATGACAACAATAAAGGCAATGAAGAATAAAATCAGTTTGTTTAACTGGTCATTAAAATATGACTAAAATAAAGGTTTGTTAATTGAGTTTCTCTCTGTTCACAAACGATACGAAACGCAGTTTGAAAAATGATAAGGGTCGAATTCAAAATTTTGAGAGCGATCCTCCCAAAAACAGCCTTAAAAACAGTCATGAACATTAACCTTTCTCCTTTTACCTTTTCAGATCACATATTATTGCTTCAAGTTTGAGTTCATTTGCTCGGTGAACGAAGTTGTTTGAGCATAACAAAGATAATCTTAGGCTGATGAGGATTTCATTGTCACAGGGCGCCACATGACCAGCCGCAACCAGGGTTCTTTCTTGAGGAAGAAAGAGAGAGAACCCTGGGAATGACACTGCAAAGCCTGCTCTTCTGTACTGAAGACTTGAAGAAACCAAATTTTACTGCGTCGCAATATATCAATCTTGAAACTGAAAAGTGACATTAAACGACGGTTAATCTCGAGAAGATGAATTTCTGAAAAAATATCTATCCAGTGGTTTCAAAACTATTCGCTTCTTTGTTAATTAAAAGTAGACCAAAATTTTTACAAAACTGCTAACAAGAGCGCATTGATACCTACTAATGAAATCCTTCTTTTTCTCCGGCTACTCCGGTTTTCCCCTCTCCTCAAAAAACTAACACTTCCAAATTCCAATTCGATCTGGAACGCACGGACACTGTGATTTAAACGAGTTCAAATGAACACCTATTTGCTTCGTGGGTAAACAATCAATTTTTTTTTTAGCAATCGGCTCTTGATGATCTTTGTTACATGTTTTTTAAAAGACTGAAACTTCAATGATGTGTAATTGCATTTCAAAAGTGTCTTGTCTTGTACAGATAACGGCCGAAAATCAGGATTGTCCAGTTTTTGACCGTATTTCCAACTATAAAAAATGAAATCCTTCTTTTTCTCCGGCTACTCCGGTTTTCCCCTCTCCTCAAAAAACTAACACTTCCAAATTCCAATTCGATCTGGAACGCACGGACACTGTGATTTAAACGAGTTAATATGAACACCTATTTGCTTCGTGGGTAAACAATCAATTTTTTTTTTAGCAATCGGCTCTTGATGATCTTTGTTACATGTTTTTTAAAAGACTGAAACTACAATGATGTGTAATTGCATTTCAAAAGTGTCTTGTCTTGTACAGATAACGGCCGAAAATCAGGATTGTCCAGTTTTTGACCGTATTTCCAACTATAAAAACTTCATACCAAAATATCTCGATAACGCTGCTATAGATTTCGCTTAAACTTAGGGAACATCAGGGACAAAAAAAGTTCCCGTGAACGATTAAAAAAAAGAAAAATTTCCAGTGCCGAGAAATATGGCTGCAAGTAAAATAGGTAATGGCGTCAGTTCCCTAGTATGACAACTCCGATGTCATCGCAACTAGTGATGGGAATTGGCTGAGATTTTATAATCGATCATCGGAAATAATCTCATTGATCCAACCGATTGATCATCGATTTTACTCGGAAAAGCTATTGATAAAAAAACATGTCTGTTTCAACTGTGTACAAGTCGCAGTGGTTTTATTATTATTATTATTATTATTATTATTATTATTATTATTATTATTATTATTATTATTGTTATTATTATTATTATTATTATTATTATTTTTATTTACATTAACATTAGTTGATTTTCTTCTTACAGTAAACAGTATCTAGAAATTGCATTCCCCAAGCCTGGTAGTGTAGTTAATCTGCACTCGAGGGGAATTTACAGCTTACACAATTTTTTTTTTATGGTTTTATTTGCCGTCAATATTTTTTTTTCATTTGTCCGCAACAATCGATTGTCGCGTCTCTTAAAGATTTTGGATCAATGATCGATTATAATCGATGACGGGCACACCACTAATCGCAACCCTGATTGATCACAAATTTTCATCTTTATCTAATCCAGCTGTGATAATTTTTCCAAATCTTTGTTAATGGTGACGTAGTTTATGCTCAAACATGAATTACCTGGCCTTGTATGCAATCACCCCATGACCCCATGGCTTTTCTTTTACTCTCACACTACTCTACTACTACTCTGGCTTTTCTCATCTCACTATTATAATTAATATTCCAGAAAAACTAAGATTTATGACTGTTTTGGTAACTTTTGTTTTAGTTGTTAGCCTTGCTCCACTAGTGTTTGCATTTCCAGTACAGGGTGTCCCAAAAGTTCGTTCCTCCACTTTATAAGTCTGTATTTCAGTTCGATTGGACTTGGTAAGAAAATCATTTAAACAAAAGTTGTGACTTTATATCTAATTTACTATTTTGGTACTTGTTGTGCTATCTTTTGAGTCGAATATTCGATTTGTGTACTGCCGCGCCAAAGGTGCGCTTGCGCGAGTATATTTTCCAGCCTTTTTTTGTTTGTATTTTATAGCCCGAATTGCTCCAACTCCTTCCTTTTTTGTTGTTGTGAATATCAAGAAAGATAAACACCCTTAACGCAAAAACGTCCAGCTACGTGAGAGCATAAGCATGTATACTTCGATTTACTGGCTTATCTGTTATAGAAACTGCTAAAAAAACTGGAAAAATCAGCATGTTGGGTGGTAAATGATCATGGCGAAATGAAGGTCTTGAAGGCAAGAAAAAACTGGAAAAATCAGAATGTTGGGTGGTAAATGATCATGGCGAAATGAAGGTTTTGAAGGCAAGAAACGAGGGGGAAGACCAAAAGTCCTGAATAAAGCAGGTAAAATAGTTTTAAGAAGACTAGATACAAAAAAGGAGACTTCTCCACAAGGAAACTCTCACATAGTTGGCAAGCAAAGTCCAGAAAGGGTCATGAAAAGCTGTTTAAAATGTTTAAAAAATTAGAGACCCCTGAGATGGCCAAAAAAACTGCTTAGTCTATCAAGTAACGCCCAGCTAGTCTCAATTTTGTAAAGAAGTACAAAAGCCTTACTGTGGAAGGGATGATTATCTTTTTTGAATGAGTGGTCAATATTTTGTTCAGCTGCCTAAACTAAACAAATATTGTTTGGGGGCTGAACAGGCTCCTGCGCACAAGCTGATAAAAAAGTTCAATATGGATCATCTGTGGGTCCACACGCTGTATTCCACTTCATGCGCAACGGCTACAGAATGTTATAAAAAAACAAAAAGGGTACGCCAGTAACTGAAATTCTGAATACAAGTTCTCGATAGTGAAATAAACATCTTCTAGGAATTTCAAGTAAAACTAAAGCTTTGATCAAAAGTTATAGTGCATGAAATTAGAGGAACGAACTTTTGGGACACTTTTCCGCAATCATTTAGCACACTTAATAGTTCTACAGCTGTATGAGAAATGCAAAAATTATTGTGTTAATGTACAGTTTTTGCTTTCTTGTATTTTAAATTTAAGGGCAATTTCTAGGTACGAGCCCCTGGGGGCTTGTATCTGGAGGGGCGATTTAAAGGAGGTTTTTTGGCGTTTACGAGTTTGGTGGGAGGGGGGGGGGGGGGGGGGCTTATATTTGGAGGGGCTTATTTTACGGAATTTTACGGTACTATTGTATCGACCAATGTTATGTTTGTATCCTTCAGTTAAACCAACTGTGACATTCAAAAGATGTCCCACTCCAGTTACTGAGGGTAATAATGCAACTCTTTATTGCAACGCTACTGGTTGCCCTGTGCCCAATGTTGCATGGATCAATGCGAGTTCAGGAAATATTGAGTCGTCTACCAAGACTCTTGTGATAACAGCTATAACAAGGAGTGAAAGGGGCAGCTATATATGTCATGCATCAAATGAGATCGGAAATGGCACACAGACCTGTGAAATTGATGTGTACTGTAAGTTGTATTTATTATTGAACAGAAGATTTTATTGATGTAACAAATATCAACTCAAAGGTTTTGAGCACTATATGTAGTTGCCAACAAATTTCATTCAGCAAATGGAGCTTTCTCTTGGTGTTTAATGCTTCTTTGCTAAAAGACTAACTATAGATTGGTTATACTTTTATAATCCTTTGCCAAGAATATATCTAAATATCTATCTCTAACCCACCATATGGCCAGTACGATTTCGGTTGATGTTTGACCCACTACCCATATATTCCCCATTTTTGGTGTTGTTATCCTATTCTACAGGGTACAATACCCAATCTTTAAGGTTCTCCCTAGCAATGCAGTCTAAATTTGAAAATCCAGTGGAAGGTAACTCGTGCCCACAGCTTGCAGTCTGGTTTACAGTGCAGGTTTTGTAGCTTTAAGTCCACTATTATGTACATTATAAACAACATATTGGGACCTATATGCATTTCAAAGTCTGTCTCTTTAGATATGTAGAACAAAAGCAAAATTTAATCTTGGTTTGACAATTATTGTTAGAGAGGTCAAGCAAATGATAACTCAAAATGAAATGGGACAAATTATCGTGTTGTTTACTCCAACAAAGCTTGTGAAGAGAAAAAAACTGTTTTTTTTTTCAAGACAACTGTGTAACACTTGTCTTGTGATAAAACTTTTAGAACATGTCAGAGATGTCCTTGTATTTTCTTTTGTATCAAACTCGTTGTTGTTTATTGTAATATTTTAGAGTAAGCGTAAGGCAATTTGGTCGAACGATAAAAACTGATACCCTACATAAAAATACGTTCAACTCTCTCGTAAGCCACCAACCCTGGTGCATGACCAAGTGGCAAATTGGGCTTTTATTAAAAATTGATTTGTTTTATAATCATGTGAAAACCCTTCGATAAGGTCTGCTCATTAAGCTCTCTCTTCTCCTTCACATAAAATGTACAAGTATCACTTAAACACTTCCCTTTGTCAATGCGTGAAAGAAAGGCTCAGTTCATATGTCGTGCTTCTGCCGTGCCGAACTCAACTCTTTTTTGAAATAGTAGCAAAGAACAAACAAACAAAATAGGTAAGTAAATAACACACACACACTATACACTGTGTGGAGAAAAAGATGGATATGGTCAACTTTCAAATTGTCTAATCAATATATGTCGTTTTAGTTAGCGTGGGAAGGAGAAATTTGGGAGATCTTTCACATTTCCGGAAACACATTGTCATAATTTATGAATTTAGTTCGAGATATTTGAATTACTACCATCCAGAGTCGTGTAGCACGGCTGACCTTGTCGAATTTAATTGTTCTACCGAACCAAACTTAAAATGTTTACTCAGAAGTCGTGTTTCTGCCATGCCTTTGGCGAAAGTTCGGCACTGTAGAAGCACGAGTTATGAACTGGACCTAACTTCTATACCGATAACATATAACCTGACTGTTGACAATTTAAGAGGCTAGGTCAAGCGTTAGTCACTGTTCACCAATAATCCTCTCGCGCACTCCAAAAAGTAAAGAAAAGAAAAAGGAAACGATCTTTGCAACACCGAGAAACACCTCCAAATGCCAAAAGAGGGCGTGCATTACATGTACTGCATTTCGGTAAACGTAAAAGACGTCGAACTTTATGAAAGTGTGAATCACAGTAATGAAAAATTATCTTTTATCTTGTCTGCCTATTTGTAGTTTTCAGCTTGTAATTAACTAAACCAATAAGGAAAATCTACTTAAAACTATTACCTAACTCCCAAGTACCAAAATAAGAAACTACTTGTACTGTGTGTCGGCATCACGAAGCTCTTCTCGTGGACAACAAGAAGAAAGGAACGGAGTGAAAAAATGGAACAACCACCCCCGCCCCTCCATTAACTTTCTTTTTTTCTTTCTTTTTTTTTTTCATTTTGCACTGAGCTGCCCATTTCACTCAGCCATTTTACTTCATTTGGCTGCTTGAGGATCAGCGATTGATTGAGTTATGTTTATTACTTCTCACTAACTGCAACTGTTGCTTATGTTCCCTCATTTTTTTAAGTATCTGTTTTATTTCAATTTTTCTGTGTTGTTTTTTTGTTATTCCAACATAGAAGTGTAGGCTGGGTCTTTTACGCTTCCATTTATTCTTTCTAAATTTTGATGAAGTTTAAAATGACATAACAAGAAGAGTGATAATTATAATCATTTAAGTTAATAATAATAATAATAATAAGAAGAAGAAGAAGAAGAAGAAGAAAATAATAATTATGTTACTTTGAAGAAAAAAGGGTACTAAATAAGAATAAGAATTTATTGAATGTAAGTCACTTTTTTCATGTAAATCTTATTTAACAATGTTCAATACTATACAGACGTACACGAAACGAACGGAAGAAAAAGGGCAGGGAGTCCCTAAAATTTCATTTACGACACACGTGACTCGTTTTCCTCAGACTCTTTTATACGGTCCGACAGTTAAGGTAGTGTTGAAGAAGATCTACTGCGTCACCAATTATAAAAAGACGACTTACCAAAAATGAGTAACATTTGACAGACCTGAGTCGTATAACTATTTGTCGCGAACCATGGTGCTGAATCCATCTAGTAGTTGTTTCGCCTTAAAACTACAGGAGTTCTCGCTTTAAATTTGACAACAATTCCTTTAAAGATAGCTTTCGTATTACACTGTCGGATTCCTGTAAGTGTATACCTTCGATTCCCAAATCTTTCATAACTGATGTCGTTGAAAGATCGATATCCGGGATCCAGCGGTGCCTTGATGACTTGATGTTTTGAAAGGAATGGTGGTCCATAGTTCTTTCTCATCAGGACGAGTAATAGTTTTGTTCGCTGGCGATGGAATTTTTTACCAGGTGGACCTGTTTCAGGGTCAGAAATTTCACCCGGAAAGGCGGCAAGGCTTCTAGTGTTACCTCCCTTGGGCATTTGTGTAGTTCGAATTTTTCACCAAAAGAAGGAGGTCTTTTTATACTGCGCTTTACATGTAAAGTAAATGTGTCGTGCTTACTTTAAGAAAAGTACTTTTCCGTGCTGTGGAGATGTAAATGAGTCTTAGTGTCATTCTCCACAAAACGCTAAGAAAACAGGTAGCTGTCTGTTGCTTCTTCTGATGTCAAGTCCTAAAGTTATTAGAGCCCTGGATCTTTTTCATGCTATCAGGTATGAGTCAATGATTTAAGCCATTACATTTTTTACACTTGAATTTCACAGTAATTACCCAGTCTTTTACTACTGCTCGTGAAAATAACGCTCGGTAAAATTCTGAAGATTTTTCGTTTGCACGATTGGTCTGCTTGTGTCATCTACATTTGTGCATTTTTAATGTTGGGAAACCTGTTTTTTTAACTCTCCGAGGAGGACGTTGTAATGCTTGTTGACTTTTAAAAACAGTCTTGTTTCTGCAATGTTTCTGGCCTTAGAATAGTTTCACCTGGTGAAAAGTGTAACTGCTTGTCTGTCCAATAAGAAAATTAACCCGTAACCAACTAACACAATGAATTTCTGAGTCTAATCCTCACTATCTCATCACTATTTAACCGGTGCTTTATTCAGTAAATCATTAAAAATTATGACTTAGGATGACCACAAGGTCGATATACACGCCATCTTAACACGATATTTTAACTCTGGCTTAATCATTTTCTTCACGTCAGGAAAAAGTACTTTTCTGAAATCATCTGTCTTTGATTCTTTTCACCATTTTCACCGCGTCTAATTCCTTTGTTTAATGACATTTATTTGCATTGTAGATCGGCCCTCCTCTTCAGCAATAACAACTATTCCAAGTAACACCACAGTGCTGCGTGGATCTAACGTGTCATTTACCTGCACTACAGACGCTAATCCTCCTGCCAATATGTATCACTTTTACTTTAAAGGAAGTTTGATAGAGAGCAATTCTTCAGATGTGTTCAATCGCACTGTTGAAGACGATGGATTGTTCACTTGTGTTCCTATCAACACAGTCGGCACAGGAGACAATGCTACCGTCAACGTCACTGTTGTTGGTGAGTCAGTAAACAGACCACACATGCATTGATTCATTCAGCAGTTTACATTATACCTTAGCTGTTAGGGCAGCTTTGAGGTCACGTCACGTTTTGAACATCTTTTGTTCAGTGTATTGCCGTTGCTAAGCTAATTTAATAACTATTTGCAGATGCTCCGGTGGTAGAAATCAATGAAACAGCAGCCACTGTGGTTGAGGGGGAGAGTATAACGTTGTACTGTAATGCAACTGGTAAACCGGACCCCACCCTTACATGGACGAAAGTTGGCAATCCGAGACCTCTTTCTAACAATGCAGTACTCAGTACTGGGATCCTAAACAGAAACGATACCATCAATAACATAATCCAGTATCAGTGTACAGCGAGTAATGGAGTGGAAAGTCCTGCTACATCTATTGCAAATATTACTGTTAACTGTAAGTATGAGCTACATTCGCTTAAGTTGTCAATTACAGGATCTAACGTGCTATTATATTACGTTTGACCAAAACATGATGGACATCTTTACTTGCTTACAGTTAAATATGACTATACTGTCCACTCAGTACCTACAAATAGTGGATTCCTCGATCAGTCTCGCACAGCTAACCTGAACAAACTAACTGTTATAAATAGAAACGCTTGGAATAGTAAGTCAGGTTACTTAAAATGAAATCGGACATTGCTGGTCCTCTTTTTATTGTATCTCTCTTTTATTGTTTTTATTATGACCACTGTGGTCCGTGTATACCTACTTGTTACTATTTCTCGGTTTCAATTTTTTACAATATCAAAATACAATTTGAATCTTACGACCCTGGTGTATGTTTTGAAATGATACATTTTTTATTATTTTGTTTGCTTTGTATGTTCCTTTAACTGTAGACGGACCCTCCTCTTCAGCAATAACAACTATTCCAAGTAACACCACAGTGCTGCGTGGATCTAACGTGTCAATTACCTGCACTACAGACGCTAATCCTCCTGCCAATGTGTATCACTTTTACTTTAAAGGAAGTTTGTTAGAGAGCAGTTCTTCAGGTGTGTTCAATCGCACTGTTGAGGACGATGGATTGTTCACTTGTGTTCCTATCAACACAGTCGGCACAGGAGACAATGCTACCGTCAACGTCACTGTTGTTGGTGAGTCAGTAAACAGGCCGCACATGCATTGATTCATTCAGCGGTTTACATTGTACTTTAGGTTCTAATCAATTGTGTTAGAGAGCTTTGTTGTCACGTCACGTTTTCAACATATTTTGTTCAGTATATTGCCCTTGCTAAGCTAATTCAATGACTATTTGCAGATGCGCCGCTGGTAGAAATCAATAAAACAGCAGACACTGTGGTGGAGGGAAAGAGTATAACATTATATTGTAATGCAACTGGTAAACCTGACCCCACCCTTACCTGGAGGAAAGTTGGCAATGCGGGACCTCTTTCTAACAATGCAGTACTCAATACTGGGATTCTAAACAGAAACGATACCATTAATAACATAATCCAGTATCAGTGCACAGCCAGCAATGGAGTGGAGAGTCCTGCTACAGCTATTGCAAATATAACTATTCACTGTAAGTTTCATTTGCATGTACAGGGTATAGTGTCAGGCTATAGAGGATAAATAGACAAATAGTAACATAGTCTCCAAACTATAGGGCAAAATGATGAACTTGCTTTTTAGACTAAAACAAAGAAATTGTAAAGCAATTTCAGAAATCCAATTTTCCCAACTGTACTGTGGCCGGTTTCTTGAAAAATCAGCTACCTTATCGTTCCCGAGGCTGTATTTAAAATAAAAAGTTAAGACTCTTTGTTACTTTGTTACTGACTTCGGGTTGCATGCTTTCCTAATCCACTAAACAGTTAATTTTTGAAAGCAAACATTGGAAACATACAACTGCTTTCAACACCCTACAATTACCAGGACCTTCGAAAAATGCGTACTGGTCTGTGAAATAAATCTTACCGCCGAAATGTGGTCTGTCGTGGCTATCCAAACCCATCACCCTGAGAACCTGATTTACAGAAGTAGTGTGATGCAAGCTGTTTATATGTTTGTTGCCTCGACATAAATGAGCGGCCAAAGCGTCGGAGGACACCTGTCGTATATATTTCCAATCAAGTTCTTTACTCTGAACACCGTTTAACCCTGCTGGGTTGAATCGGCTCTTTTGACCTTTCTGAATCTTGTTGTTTTGCTGTAAAGTACAAATCGCAATCAAGGTATTATTCCGGTGATGAGGCGTTCAAGAGAATAAGACCTCCAGAACGAGGGTGGCCATGAGATAAAAAGTTAACGTCAAATTCTAATTACAACGGCTTCTCACCTTTTTGCCTCCATATGCGGAACCACTGTTGCACTTGATGTCATAGTCAGTCACAGTATTGTCTTGGATCTTTTATAGATTGTTATTTGTTCAGCTCCTTTTTTAAGGTACTTGCATTTTCTTTTCTCAGTCGCCTACGTCACCGAGTGTAAAAACATTACTGACAACATAACGCACGTGCTTGCCCTATATAAGTCCCATCGAGCCGCTATCTTTATTTACGCACGCCCTGTGCGTAAATAAAGATTTTTTTCATGATGACGTGTTCAGCAGGAAAATTAAATTACTCTAGCAATAACAATACAAATTACACCGCAAGAAGACACAAATTTATTACTCACAAAAACAACCTGCTGCCAGGTCTTCTCAAGAAGCCGTGATGACCAGCCATTGTTCGTAAATGAATATAAAGTAGGATGACAGTCGTCTTCGCTAAAAAACAAGTTGTCTGGATTTCGCCAAGCAAAATATAACGGCATCTTTTCAGCGAATCCAAACATACCCCTCCTCTTAGTATTTTAACTTTAAGTGGACTTTTACCTTAGTTTCTGCTTCGTTTTCATTAATCGTTAACGAATAAATAAGCAAGTTTTCTTTCTCAGTTTTAGAGAAAGAATTTTCTTTCAAACGACGATTGTGGCGTGTTTGTAACCAGCCAATAGGAGCGTTTGTTTTTCTGTGTCGCGCGTTACGAGAATTTTGCAGTTAATTAAAAAGCAAATATTTTTGTCAGCTATGTTGTAAAAGAAATTGCTCATGCTTTTAGCTGGGCGTATATCGAGTTATGGATGCACGCGGGAAGTTTGGAGAGCACTCAAGTAGCGAGAGTTGCTCTCGGCTGCGCCTCGAGCTACTCTTACGCATCTTTCGTGCTCTCCAAACTTCCCGCTTGCTTCCATAACTCGATATACGCACGCTAAGCATGAATAAATTCTTAAATGTCAGTTATTGCACTTTGAGAAAACACCCGCATTGTAACCCATAAACAAAATGGTTTGAACTGAGTGGTTCCTTGATTTCCCTTTACAGGACTAACGTTCAGTGGGAGTGTAAGGTGTCGTTTCTTGTAGTTTAAGTTTAATCCAGGATTAGTTCTCTTTTCTCGCGTTTAACTCTTATCGCACTTGAATGCGCGTATGCAATCCAAGTGCCGTTTATGATTGGCAGGATCAAACTAATGTCCGCTAAGTCTTAACAGTATTTCTCTGCCGAGCTAGACGATGGTGAATAAGCAGTTGAATGAGGATTTTCCTTGCATAACTACATGTTTCAGCGTGAGAAATCACGCAATGAATTAGTAAAGGAGGTGACTCTCAATTACTGATTGATAAATGACGAATGATAAATAACGTTGACTGTACTCAGGTTTTTCTTAGCTGCTAGTAAAATTATAACATGAACATGTTCATTTTCTTGGTATAGATCGCCCTTCAGCTTCAACATTGACAACAATGCCAACTAACACCACAGTGCTGCGTGGTTCTACTTTGTCACTTGACTGCAATACAGATGCTAATCCTGCTGCGAATATGTTTTTCTTTTACTATAATGGCAATCCTGTTGGAAATAACCCCTCAGGTGTGTTAAATCACCCTGTGCAGGACGATGGTGTGTACATGTGTGTTCCTATCAACGACGTTGGTGCGGGAGACAACGTTACTGTCAGCGTCGTTGTTGTTGGTAAGTAGATTGCAGATCAAAACACCGAACATGCATTGATTCATTCAGTGTTTCACCTATTGGGCCTTTTGGATTTTGTTCCCTTCTAGTTAGGAAGCTTTGTTAAGTTTCTATCAGCTTAATCCCGTTAATATACTTGTTACTAAGCAACAGTTATTATTTTGCAGATGCTCCGCTGGTAGAAATCAATAAAACAGCAGACATTGTGGAGGAGGGGGAGAGTATAACATTATATTGTAATGCAACTGGTAAACCTAACCCCACCCTTACATGGACGAAAGTTGGCAATGCGGGACCTCTTTCTTACAATGCAGTACTCAATACTGGGATTCTGAACAGAAACGATACCATTAATAATATAATCCAGTATCAGTGCACAGCCAGTAATGGAGTGGAGAGTCCTGCTAAAGCTGTGGCAAATATTTCTGTTCTTTGTAAGTTTTGTGTTTAATGCCTTGTGATGTTTGTATATATCGAAGGTTTCAAAATGGGGACCTTTTTGTGATTTCCCTATAATTAATGAAGTTAAAACTTCAAGTTTAAACTCATCACGGCGTTGTAATAGCAAGTTGTACAAAGGTCTTTTACCTCCTTCAAAATGTTTACGCATACAATTTCATCAAGTTTATGACGGAACTGGTATCTGTTATCGATCAAGCGTTCGTCATGATTACTGATATGATTCTTTGAGAAGATATTTGTACCTATAATGGCATTGATAATGAAAATGTAGTAATGACAATAATAATAATAATAATAATAATAATAATAATGATAATAATAATAATAATAATATTAATGATAATAACAATAACTGAAAAATTCTTTATTAAAATCTTATAAAAATCTTATGAAAACTACACACAAAACTTCTGTAAAATATTCATAAAAATAAAACGTCCACATCAATATTACATAAATACAAATTTCCGGCAAAACCCCTTCAAAATTCATATGTCCACGATAGACAACTATTTACAATTGTGAATAATTTAAGAGTGGGAAAAGGAAAATCAAGCATTACTAAGAAAAAAAGCTATCAAAAATCTAGGTCTAAAATTATGAGTGCAGATCTAGACCAGCTACAGCGAAAGTAAAGTCTTCTGAGACCTCACGTGATTTGAATGGATATCTAGAACCTCTGACGCATCCGTGCACAGTTCTTAATATAGCAA